ATATGTATATGTATATGTATATATATATTATATATATACATATACATATATATATGCTCATAAGCACTTACACGAAAGCGTATTTAGCCTACAGGTACAAGGAGCGAGATGTATATGGCATACATCTACGAAAAAAATTCAATTTGCACTCAATAGAGCATAATAACAACAATAATAACCATACACCTAAGCGCAGACTAATATATGTACAAAGAACAGAGCGGAAGCCGACATGCAAGTCCATATAAATCAATCATGTTCTACACAGCTGATTTGTGCTCGCGAATGTGTGTACCTTATCAGAATCAACACGTTCTGGATAATAATGGCGGTGGCGATGTAGTTCACATTGTCGTTGACGTAATTTGTACTAGTGATGACCTGCAGATGAGCAGAAATAAGACGATCAGATTAGTACCACACATATCGTCTGAGGTCAAAAGTACAGCCAGGACCAGTGTGGATACAATAACGCTCGGCAGGTGACATGCGATATAGGCGGTTAAAGCTCAACATAATAGAGTTAGGAGTACCCTCAAAGCAGTGTACTTATATTTGGCTGGGAATGTAGTTCATGACCTCGATGTTACGCAGAACGAAACTTACAGCTACATGCTATACCATACGAACGTAGGGTAACCACTTGTGTATATGACAATATTGGGCATTGGGACATAGCCTATCGGCATACGATTGCAAATACCAGTTTCCCTGTTTTGTAATGTACATAGTTCTACACACACACAAAGGCATGCAGCATCGGCTTACAGTTGTAAATGTTCAATCTCCTGATTTACAATGTATATTCTGAGGCCGAAGACTGTAACACAAAAAGACGAAACAGATCAAAGGCAACAGAGTGCATCCGCAAATAAGGTCCGTATGCCCCAGCAAGCGTCTGATAGAAAACCACATGAAAACTGGTCCGGAGAAACGGCGCAGCAAAACGGCAGAAACCGGGCCTCGAAACGAAATTTGGACTAACTATTGCCAATAGAATAAAACGCATTCGCATATAGACGTTCGGCTTACGATTGCAGAGGTTAGACCCCCGAACGACGTCATCAGCGCCGCCACGAAGAACAGGCGCGCCCTACCCTCACCTTCATCGCCAAAGCTACCGCCCCCTCCGCCAAGAGACTGTCAGGGTGAAATGAATTACACAGTTGTTGTGAGAAAAATCTGTACTGATCACGTACTGCCTAATTGAGTGGATATACGGATATGTCCTACGTATATATAATATGAAGGAGTTCAAACACGCGAACTAGAGTCTGTAAGGGTAGGCGGAATATCATAGTTATGTGAAATTACTTGTACTCGTCGTGTGCTTTCTGAGTAAATATGAGAACTGATAATAGACATGTACATACTAGAATGATATACCTATGCAGCATACGAAGCAAGAAACACAGGTGCACATATGCAGTAAATCCTCGAGCTACAAATTACACAAAAACGCATTTACAAACATCCTGATCAGCAACCTTAAAATCTCTATAGCTAAGATTACACTAAACGCTATCGAAACTCACCTCAGCTGGAACCAAGTTCACCATTATGAGTCCAATAGTAGATATGACACCCGCCATCCACCCCACATCCAGCCTAGACCCAGTTAGGTCAGGTGGTTCAATCACAACTCGCGTGTATACATACGAATCAATCCATAGCCACCAGGCAGCTGTGATAAAACGTGGTCATCGACTTAATATTCGGCAATATTAAAAAAAACCCCAGGCTGTTTAGATAACCATGAATACACACGACCTCATATAGCACAC